AAAATTTATTAAACCCTAAAAATATAATAAAAACAAATATATAGTTATCAATTTTAACCATTTTAATAAAAGTATATAAGTAACAAGTAAAAATATAGTTAAAAAGTAAAGTTTATTTTAATTTTTTTTTTTTGTTAATTAATTTTACTTAAGTATCAAATTTAATTATATTATAGGCTAATTATTATTCGAAATCACTTAAAAAGTAGAAAAAATTGTGATTATACTGCAATTATATTTTTTTTTGTTTATTTGAAAATTTCGTCAAAATATCTTTTATTTATACCCAATTGAGATAAGGGATCGCCGAAGTTTTATATGAGTTCTTGGAGTGGTTTTTGGTAATAAATCATTAAAAAAAAAACAAAATAACAATTATTAAATACCATAACACTTATGTTAAAATTATATAGGTTCTTCAACTAAATTTCAATTAGGTTAAATAAAATATGCACATAAAATAATCAAAAAAATAACGTATAAACATACTTTAATATTACATTAAACATTTATTAGTTTAGTTTGTTCGTGAATTTCTTCTTATAATTATATTATATACATTATAATTAAAGTGAAACCACTTATTTTAGTTGGCACACTTATTTTGGATTATTAAAGATTAACAAACAACTTGTTTCACTAAAATAAGTGTTAATGACCCTTAAAATTGATTTTTTATTTTAACTAACAGGCTATTTTTTAGCACTTTTCCAAAAAATTTTTTGAAAAAAGTGCTTATTAGTTTCACTCTGTCCGTCCGTCCGTCCGTCCGTCCGTCCGTCCGTCCGTCCGTGGACACTTTTTTTGTTTACAAAACTTCTACACCCTTCAAGATAGAAAGCTGAAATTTAATACGTACATAGATCTTCACTAGAAACTTATTTCCGTAGAACAAAATTTTTACCTATCTCCCCCCCTCTGGAAGTTATACCCCCCCAAAACCCTAAAAATTGCCTTTTTTAAATATTTGTTGCAATGAAACCATAACCATTTTTGAAATTTTGCAAACGCAGAAAGGCGGTGGCTTCCCCTAGCGCGATATACTATAGTTAAACTTTAGAAAAACAAAATGGCCATTCAAATTTACCGTTATCTAAAGTCCTTTTTTTCCAAATTTTTGATGTCGTTTTTCTTCTAGACCCCAGCCTGTAGAAGCTTGAAATTTTAGGAGCTTTTAGACATTAACAAATAGTTCATTTCGTTAGAAGAAAATTTTTTTCCATCTCCACCCCCTCTCAAGTTATCACCTCTTGAAATTTGTAAAATTTGAATTTTTGACACCTTATATTTCCGAAACCGCAAGCTTTTCCAAATTTTTATAAACGCAAAAAGCTAACGGTAAATTCCATGAAATTAAAAAATATAATTATTTTTCTTAACTCACACAATTAACCCTTAAAATCGAGCGTTATGTTAACCCCTTTTTTGCTTTATTTCAAAGACTGCATATATGCGTCATTATAAATATATGCAATCCTAGAAATAGTTTTGTATATGAATGAAAATAATTTTAATATTGTGATAGCTATACATAGACTGTATTTAAAAGCAGAATTTTCACTTGTTGAAGGGAAAAGTGCTACAATACAAACCATTGGTTTGACCCAACTTTATTTTATATTCTTTTAGAATTGAGCACAAAATATGCATATTTGATCTACATAGGACATGAACAATAAGGTTTTATTTAAAAATAATACCAATTAATTTGCGCTTTAAATATTTTTTGTTAAATTAGTGATTTTGCGCGTTAAATTATTTATGGAATTGAACTGAGTTATTAAATCTATAAAATAAACTTCTAAATGATTGTAATTAACTGTATGATTCATTTATTTAAAAACTCTTATATAGTATGTAAACTATGCACAATTAAAATTCCGTCTTTAAGGATAAAGTGATTTTAAGTTTCAAATTAATCAATTTGATAGGAAAAAATATGAGAACAATGGAATTTATTGGAAATTATGTGTAATCAAATCAGGTATTATACTATGAAAAATGAGAGAAATTTTTAGCTTTGTTTCAGTTCTTAGTAAACGTAAGGGTATCTACACGATTACTTCTATGATAGCATAAAATTCAATTCTGTTCTTCGCAATATAAAATCATAAATTCATAATATTTTAAAATTTTTATTACTTTTTATTAAAAAAATTTTTTAATTTTCTAATAAAACATTTGTTGCGTACGAAATTTTACATCTGTTATATACCATTCACCATTTTATTCTCCATTGCCTCTTGTCTTTATCTTCTTTACTATAAGATTTTTATTAATATCATATTAACAATGTATTATTAACAATATATATATGTAAATATTTATTATAAAATATCCTTTCATATATTAATTATTAGATATCTTAAATCCAAAACATAAAATGAAATTTTAATCAAAATATTAGAATTTTTCATTCATTCGCATCTATGATTGATTCATTTCTTTTCCACCATTTTTAAATCTACATGTACCAGGTATATAGAAAATTTCAAAAATTCTTTAAGATTAACATTTTATTATTAATTTTTTTTTTTTTTGAAAGAATGAAAATTAAAACCATTTAAATCTATAATTATTGTAACACCGCAATTTAATAAAGGAATTTTCACAACGAAAATGTGATTTAGTTTATATTTGCTTAAACGAGGGAAAAGATTAATCTAGGTTGTATACGAATAGGTTAAAAAAATAAAGCATTACATTGCTATTGAAAAGAAAGATGAATTTAAAATAAGAAGGATGAAAAAAAAAAATTAAATTGTTTTTTAAATCTTTTTAACACCTACGCAAACAATGGTATGAAAAAATACAAACCCGGCATAATCTTCCTTAAATATTTATAAAAAAAAAAAAATTCATCTTTGATCCCTCCTTTTTTTTACTTGCATATCCTTTTTTCTTTTTTTGAAATTTTTTTTTCATTTGGTTTTGTAAAAATTGGCTTTAAATTTTAAATGAAATGAGGGTGCTAAGATATAAAAATTGAATTTCATTTGTTAATTGAATCATTATGTTAATTGGAATTTAAATGAAGTTTTTTTTTTACTTAAATTGTATTTTTTAACAATTATTTTTTTAATAATTAACAGTTTCCTTTTCAGGAATTAAAGATGATTGTTTAAGGTTTAACAATTTTCAAAATATCTCATAACATTTAATAAATTTAAAGTTTAAAGACGAAAGCCTAATTTTTTATTCGAAATTTAAACAGGGAGGCAATTAGGCTGCCGATCAAATTTTTAGTTTTGCATTTGTAATACTAAAATTAAAAATTTTTCAAAAATTATTTTGTAAATTTGAAAATTTGATCAAATTTTATATTTTCAATTGCTCTCTAAAATAAAATTTATTTAAATTTTATCTATTTAGTCTCAAATTGTTATACTGGAACTTAAAATTAAAAACAATCATCATGAGTTCAACAAAAATGACCTAGACTAGCTAGAGGTATGAGATGGATTTTGAATTTTGGATAAATAGATATTGGCAAGGTTTCCATCCTAGTAACCAGAGTCACTTATTGCTTATTATATAGTTAATGCATAGCTCCAACGTAATATATTGCCCTATTACCTTGTAATTAAGTATGTACATATATAAAAGATGAATCTCAAATATATTATGTTGGAACGTTCGTGTTTTTTTATCATTATTGTTGGCCAGAGAATTATGATTCAATCTTTGAGAAGTAGAACCAAATACATGAAGTCTATTCTTCTGCAATTTATTAGTTTTATTAAGTAAATATAAGAGGTAAACTAAATAGTTTCTGTTGATAAAATTCTTGCTAATACTGTACCTACCCAATAATTTTATAAATAATGAAATTTAATTTAAACTTCATTTTACTTATTTGTTGTTTTCAAAAATTTTCTTTAATTCAAAATCTTTTTCTTTAAATTTTTTTTTACTATTAAGACCGAAAGCGATAGTGTACATACGGAAGGTGTTTTTAATCCGACTAAGAAATTTAATTTTAATTGATATTTAATTTTACATTTAGCTCAGCTGTTTTACCATTAAAATATACTACTGTATTTTGTAATTCTATTTTCATCTCACTTCTTAGACAAAAAACAAAAAAGAAAAAAGATCCAGTACAAAAATATTAAAGAAAAGATTATCCTTCTTAATACCATTTTGTGTGTATACACAAAGTAAATTAAGAATAAGAAAATGGAAAAATGAAAATAAAGGATAATTGAATTTTGTTTTTCTTAAATAATAATTTCTATGTACGAGTATGTATGTATGTATGTATGTATGTATTCCACTGTACCTTTTAATACCTTGTAGGTGGTATTAACTGATCTCGCCATCTCGTCATTTTTATCAATGTCAAAATACAAAAATATTTTTATGTTTTGTGTCAAATAAGAAAATAGAAAAAAAATTGAAGAAATTCCGGTCAAAAAATTTCAAAAGAAATAAAAAAAAAATATTTTAATCGTTATTGAATAGTAATTATTTCGGTAGTTAATTTAGTTTTTTTTTTTTTGTGTTTCACAGATAAATAAGAGTAAATTAATTCAAAAGAAATTTAAACGGAAATTGTTTTGTAATTTAATTTCATATTTAATAGTGTTACCTACTGTTAGATCAGCAGAATTTCTTGGATCAACAGATAACTTGATCTTAATAATGCTGATAGTTTATATTAACACTACTCACCAGTTTGCTGCTATGTTGTTGAATTTTAGAACTATACTTTAAATATGAATAATGTTGTGGTTGATGATCACTTGTAGTTGTAACTATACATATTTTGCTATTATGCTAGTGTTGTATATTACTTACATGTTACTGAATTTATATTACATATTTGTCACTGTTGTGTGGAGTTGTTGTGTTTAATAATGTTTTGAGTTTAATAAAATATTGCTCGTGTAATTCAAATGTGGCTGTAGTCTACTATTCAAATGTAGTTTTCAAATATGTATTGAATTATTTAAATGTTGCTTATTTAATACGTCATATTTGTAGTGCATTAATGATCAGCTGTGTTTAATTATTTATATGTCAATACACAATTGTCATTATAATTTTCATCGTACATTTTTTGAATTTGAATTTTTTTTATTTCTTTTAGTTCGGGTTGATTCAATGATAATTGATCAATTTGATGGAAACTATTTAGTGGAGAATGAAAGACAGGATGAATAGCGTACGAATAGAATGAAATTAGAAGATTTTAAAATATTAGCAACTAATTTTAGGTAAGCATTTAATTAAGCATTCTGCTGTTCGTTTTTAAGTTTAAGACCTCAGGATTCAACGCCTAACATTAGTATTTAAGTGAAGTATAATTTAGTGTAACCTAAATGTTATAAGAAAGATTATTGTTTATTTTACGTTTTTCAGAATAGTTTGCATTATAAAAAATCTGATTCTGAGTCGGAATAAGGGAATAATAATTTTTTTCTTAATTTTAGGTTGGATTTCTATTTCAGTAATAAAAAAGTTTAGAAGCTTTTCTTAATAAATTAATAAATCAAATACTTTCTTGGATTTATTGAACATTTAAAGTTGATGTGGATGAGAATTTAAACTTTCCACATTTTACAAAAACTGAAATAATAGTGTCATACATAGTAAAGTTCCCGTAAAAGTGACACTCATCCTATTCTCATACAAAATAATAATCCAATATATGTAAGTATGTATGTATTATTAAAACAAAACTATTCCAAATGGTGAAGCTTAGAAATAGATCAATAAGTAATGCCAAATTTTGATTTTCGTTTTGAATCGAACCGGAAAGGTTTTTGCCTTGAGTTTTACCTATAAATTTGCTCAATTGAAATATTGCATTTTAGGTATTGTGAACAGATTTGTAATGTGCACATTTTGTATTGTTTGAATTTTCATTTAACAATTTTTAAATCCATTGTATTTAATTTAACAAAATGTTTTCTTATTGTAATTGAATTTTAATTGAATTTACTGTTCCATTCAAAATTAATTTAATTTTCTAGTAATTTTTCTAAAATAGCTTTTTCGGTAGTATTTAAAGCATTATTTTTATACATTCTTAAAGAAATGTAGGCGAAACAAAAATTTCTCTTTAAATAAATAAAAAAGCAGATGATTATAAAAATTTCTTGTAAAATGGAATTCTTTACCGGTCCAGAATAAATATTGTAAATTTAGTATGTGTTATACATTAGGTTATTTTCAAATACATTAGGTTTTTTTTCTTTAATGTTCATTGACAAAGTCCCGCCATTTGATTGAATAAAAATTACCTTCCCATTATCTTTATGTAGTGTATCCTCTTCTCAATATCAGCGTATCCTCCTTTTATAAAATTTTACAATAGAAATACTAGATATTTGTCTGTTTTTTTATTTAATTTTTATTTTGATTATGACTTATGAAGGACTTTTGTATACATAATTTTATAATGAATATAAAATTCAACTTTTTTTCCTGTTTTAACAAAGTATTATCAATTGTATATTATTGTCACATAATGATTTTTCATATCCTTCAATATATAGACACAATAGTTTTATAATACAAAAAAAAAAAGGACATTCATAACGCCCAAAATAACTGAAAGAAAAAGTTATTTTCCTCACTTTGTTGTTCAATTTTTTTTTTCAGTTGACTTCAATCATATTACAATAATTTCCTTCCGCTTTTTTTTTTAATTCAATAAAAATATTGTACAGGAATGAGATTTTGATGTATCGTCTTTGTAACAAAGAAACATACACATATTTTTATATTATATAATAGTCATGTAATGTCCTTTTCAAAAGAGGATGACTTTTCAAAAGGAAGAGATGAAAAAATTTCATGTTTATATATATGAGAATACAAACGTTTACACGTTCAATATAATATCCATGAATAATAATTAAATATTCGGGCATATCATACACAATTTTCTGGTCAATTTTTATAGTTTATATACGGAAATTTTTCTTATAATATGTTGAATGTTATTTACTATTGTATATACATATTATATGTATATAAATGGACCTAATGGAAAAGCAAAGGTGTTATACTTTATTATCATTGTATATCCTTTTTTGAAAACAAAACAAGACATATTGAGAAAAATATTATAAACTTTATTTCCTTGTTCTCTATTATTTTATTAAATATTTGTGAATATTTGAATGAATTGTACAAGGATAGTAATTGTGATTCGGAACTAAAATTTACAATTAAAGAATTGTTTGATAAAAATTATATTACTGTAACAGATTTATATACAATTATGTTGAATGTAGATTAAATAAAATTGTATTTAGAAAAAAATAAGGAAATGTAAGCGTGCAAATTTTTAGCTTATTGCCATCCTAATTTATATATACCATTCCTAATAGTAGCAATAAAGGTTTTTTAAACGATAAATTCTAAATATTAAAATGAACTTTAATTTTCTTCTTGACAAATATGTCGCATTTTGTGTATAGCTAAAGCATTTATGCTGGAGTTATAATTTTTTACAGGACAAATACGATTTGTGTTGTGACATTTTGTGTAGGAAAAGCCTTTATATATATGCTTTTGAATGACACACAGAATATTATATTTTATTCCTCTAATCTAATTAAATAATATATGTAGATTAAATTGTTTATATAATTTGAAATATTATTTGAAATATAAATTTGCAGACTATACAGTCAATATATTCAACTACTCCAAAGTGACGTTCTCTACACGTATGTATTTAATAAAATGGTTACACATCGCAATATATGTAGCTCTACAATGTATTATAATTTTCCTTGCATCTTATCTAGTTTGCACTAACTACTCTATTAAACAAAAGTTTCCTAAACTTTTCCGTATTCATTAAGTGTTCGTAATTTTTTTTTGCAAATATTTCAAAAATAAAATCAAAATTTTTCGAATTTTTATTTTTAGTCTTAAATTTTTTACGAAAATTAAATCGAGGTAATAAATTTTTCGTAATCATTAGACAATATCTTCATTTTTGGAAAATATTCTTCAAACTATTACTACTATATTTAATGGGAAAAAAGTAATTTAAAGTAAAAAGTATTAAAAAAAAGCAAAAGGAGAGTGGTACTTGATAAAAGTACTTGCATAAATAATATACTTTAGATTTCATTCCATAACAATATCAAAAATTATTTTCAAAAAAAAAAATTGAACAACTTCCCTATATACATGCTATTTCTGTATTAATTTGGTGCATATGTATTTATGTATGTCACAATGTAAATTTACACATGTTTTTTTGATTACGCGAATGGTATGGAAATTTACCTAGAATTTTGTTTTTTTTTTATATTGCTCATCGCGATTATTTCAATAAATGGTGCTAACCAGTTATTGGTACCGGAAATTATGATTTTTTTTTCTTTATATTTTTCTCTGTTCCTTTTTTTTTTTGTGTTTTTTTTATCCTCTTGTAACGTTTATAACTTGTTAGAATCATTAACCTCTTTGGTATAGGTCGTCTTGTTATTTTTTTCTATACTATTTTTACTTTTTTTTTTACTGCTATTAAAAACAATGTTTCATTATACTAATTTTTTTTTTAATTTTAGGTTTTTATTTTGTATTTAAATACTCAAACAGTATGTGGTAAATATGTCCTTGCTAATGGAATAAACTATGTATATTGAGGAATAAAAAAGAAATTTACTCGAAGCGCGATTTAATTTACTGAAACATATGAGTGTGGTATTTTTAAAAAGGAGTAACAAAAACTACCCAATATCTGCAATAAGAAAAAAAAGAATTAAAATTATGAAATAAAATCCAATTAATAAACAAAGGCGTATCCATTATTTTTGAAAAGTGTACAAATGCAAAAACACAAGTGGAAGGCTATACAGTTAAATTAGGACTTTACCCGTTCTATAGGAGATAAATTAAGTTATTAATAAGAAGCAAATCACTGCGTGGTAGTAAAATTTTAAGAATATTATTATAGCTATAATAATTATAAAATTTTGTATTTTAGGATAAATATCACGATCATTTAAACAAAAAATTTATTAAAATTTGAACAACAATTAACCTTTCTCTAATACTGTTCATCACTGATGTTGTTATGTAATTATAATAATAATAAAAAAATTTATTTTGCCACTATTAAAAGTTGAAGAATTTTATATTATTATTATTATTATTATTTTTTATTTATTTAATTTTACTATTAAAACATACATAAAACAACGAGAAAAAAAAATAATTCCCTTAAAAAACATTTTTTTCACCATTGTCATTAATTGACATGCAGTGTGCACTTGAAATTGTGGGAAATTTAACATTTGTTCCTTACAAAGTATATTTTTATTTTTAATAAAATTTGTAAGTTTATACAAAGATTAAATCAGTGATTCGCTGAGAAGAGAAAGTCATAAATAAGTCAAAAAAAAAAGAAAAGTAGAGAAAGTAAAAATTATTCATTTTAATGTCATTTTTTTTAAAGTTATTTAATGAAAAAATGTTATCGTGATATATCAAAAATTCAAAAATTAAAACAAAGGCTTGCCAAATTCATATACGTATATTCGTTTTTATACTTAAAAAGGAACAGTTTGTGTGTTGCAAATTAGAATTTATAATTTGCTGTATATAAGCCAAGTTACCACACAATATAAAATGTAATTGAGGATTATCAATTTGCGTATATAAGCATGTAAGGATTATTATGTTAATTTGCGGTACATAAGCAAAATTACCACACAATGCAAAATACAAAAAAAGATTTGGAATTTGCCAAATACAAGAAAAATTACCACACAATGGAAATAAGGATTTGGAATTTGCCGTATATAAGCAAGTAAGGATTTTTAATTTGCAGTATATAATCAAAATTACCACACAATACAAAACGCAAGTAAGGTTTTTAAATTGCATTTAAACCACATCATTTGATCAATGATTTTTTGTAAGAAATTGTAAGACAAGCATTCTTTAATGCAATTTCTAGGAATATATAAGTATAAATAATAATAATCACAGCTACATTTTTGTAAGTTTTGTTTTTACAAAATCCTGATCAATAACAACGTAATTTGGTAGAAAATTGAGGCAATAACAGAATTTGAAATTTTGTTATTAATAATGTATGTTAATCTGGTAACCCGAGTGAATGAAAGAATGATTGAATAATATGCCTAAATTTTTTATGTGTGTAAAAACTAAAAGGAAGATTTCTTATTATTAATAATTTTCTCTTTTTTTGTTTAATGGATTCAAGTGGAGTATTCGCGTGCTTTAATAAAAATATACCTTAAAAAAAGTATTTTATAAGAAGTTATAAAAGTAAACCTATATAAGTTTTTAATTTTTTGAATATTTTGGTAATTGATACCCCCATTGTCTTTTTGTTCGTTTTTTTATTGTGTATAGTCATCATTCAAGAAAGAAATTATATTTGCGAAGTTTTGTAGGTTTGTTCTTTTAACAAATTGATATTATTTACATTTTAAATGTTAAATTTCTTTTTAAATAATAAATTCTAAAAATATAATTTTTTTTTTATTTAGTTTTAATTAGCTTGTATACTTACTTATTTTTAGATATAATTTTATGTTAAAAAATATAATTTTGTTTTTTTTTTTCGATTTGCGTGTATAAAATTTGTCATGTATGTATATATGAATCGATTTTTATTTGTCAATTTATTTGATTATTATGTCATCATTTTTGTTTTAACTTTTGTCATTCTCTTTTATAATTCAAGTCTTAATTTTAGGCAAGGGAGAACTGCATTAATTTTTGGTCGATTGATATTCTTAATTTTACTTGCCATGGCATACATTGGAGATGACATTAATTTGAAATAGTCGGAGCATAAACATGGGCCTTTTACCAGCCTTTATTTTAGTTAATTATTTAACTAATTTGTAGAATAAGTTTACTAACTTTAGCTGTAATTAATAACATTGATTTGTAATTGTATTTTTTATAAGTTTTAATATTTTAAAATTTAATCAAATTTAGCCGACCTATAAATCTCTATAAATTAAGTTGAATTAGAAATTTTGCAATTCGTAGCCTATCATTTGATTATATTTTGTTATTTTCATGCCACATTTTTAGTTAACATTTTCAGGATAACAACTTGTTATTCTAAATTGACAAAAAAACACATAATTAAATTAAACACGTGCCTAAATATTCTATATCAATCCTAAGATGTGATAACCCTTTCGAAACTATTTTACAAAAATAATTATAAAATCAAATAATTTTTTATTTTATAAGTATAGTTACTTGTGTTGATTTAGTCCTTTTCTAAGAATTACTTAAAAATCTTGTTTAATTTAAAATTAGCATCTGGGCACGTATCATAACATTATCGTAATACTATTTAGGTATACTTACAAATGTAGAAAAGATCTTTAAAACAAGATAAACATTTTGCAAAATCACTTTAAAAACAAAATTTCTTTTTAATTTTCATACCTTTAACACCTTTATTTTTCATTTACTATTGTGTGTGTTTATGTTTTAACTCATATATGTATATGCATTGATATTTAGTTTGAAAAGCGGCGACATACTGTCTGGTAAATATTCATCTTAACAAAATCAAGAAAAATAAAAAATTAAAAACTATTGTAAAGAACAAAGAAAGAAAAACATTAAAATTCAATGAGATTTTGAATGAGAAAAAAAAAACAAAAAAAAAAAAACTAAATATTTCATTGAAACATGTAAGAGCAAAGGAATTTTTTTTCATTTTCTTAAAGATTTTTTCATCATAGTGCATGTTACCTGCAGTCTTGTACAGGCTCATTCAAAAATTTCAAGAAAAAATTTATTTTTTAAAAAATTTTAATTTTTAAAGTGATTTTATTTTTAATTTGGTTTTTTTTTTAAATCTGTGGCTACAAATGACGATTTCTTTAGAGTAAAGGCAAGACTAGAAGGATTTTCAAAAACTAATTTAAATTTAAGTTTATTATCAAGTAATATTTCATTGAAATTAATACATACAACGTTACTATATCCCCAAAATTAGGGTTTATACAAAAAAAAAGTACAAAATAATATTTTTCTTAAATTTTAAAAAATTGATTTTTAAGTTTAAATTTTGATTTGAGTACGTTTTTTTCGAATAAGGCAAGTTTTTCTTTAAAATAACAAGATTTATTCATTATGGTATTAATTTTAGTGTTTAATATTTAAAAATAGTAGAAGAAAATTTATAAGTGTCAGATTATTTTCATATGATTTTCTTTAAAATTTCTAAAAGACCCATAGTAGCATTTAATTCGTAAATTTAAAAGAGACCTTTAGGTAATTTTATTTGAATAAATCCATATCAACATCATTTACTTACATAAAATTTATATAACTTATTCATCTTATAATTAATTGTAAAAAATTACCCTGTAAAAATGATTACATATTACTATCCTTGTGCATTACGCGGATACGATTCAAGTATTTTATTATCAAATGATATTTGTACAAGAAAAATATTGTATATGCAGTATTCCAGAAGGTTACAACCTAAATTTTATTAAAATTTATATATAGAAAACTAATTTACACGCGGTTTTTCTTGTACATATAAAGACAAATTCCTTTTTAATGTTTAATATTTTCAAATATTCGTTTTCAAGAAAGATACTCGTATCCTTTATTTTCATTCCGTATTGTTATCAAATTTGAAAGGATCATACATTTTTTTTCAATACCTATACGAACAATTTATTTTTATTTTACAAAAATTTCATCGTACATTCTTTAAATGTGGAATGTAGAATCAAAATCGAAATTGTACGTGCAGTATCTACAAACAAAAAAAAAAAAAAAAGTAATTTTCAATTGTTTTTCAATTTTTGTCCTTCAATATAACATCCTATGACCGGATGTAACTTCCTAAAAAATAAGAATACAATTTGCTTTTTTGTTTTGTTTTTCAAACAAATGTAAAAAAAAATATTGTAATAGTAAAAAGGGAATAAAATAAAAAAAAAATCTCATCACTTTTAATTCTATTTCTCTTCCCAATTGCATTTCTACATTATAAACTATAAACAATTATTACAAATTCTATTTGATTTTAAAATATATCCGTACATCCTTGATGCACATACATACACATTTTTTGAATCGGTTCGGTATAATACAAATAAGGGGTTCCTTTTCTTTTTTACAATTACGAGTATAGGTACATTTTGTTTTGTTAATTTTTTTTTTTTGTGTATAATTTTCCTGATTCTCAAAAGGACAATAATTTACAATTCGATTTTTGACAAATGGGCTATTTGTCACACCTTTTTGTGGATTGCGTGTTTTTATCATTTTATGTCGTCATTTGGTTTTTTGATTTTTATTATAGTTTTTATTTTAATATTGAAATTATTGAATCAGAGGATATTTAAGAATTTTTATTGTTTGAATGTACTTGCATACACATATAAGTTTAGAGAGAAATAATATGGAATGATGTAACAGCTATGATATTTTTATAAAAGGACAATAAATTATTATTGTATGTACTTAACTTTTTTTTTTCAAATAAGGAAATAAATATTGTAAGTACATTTTAAAGGTTGCGTTGAATATTCGAATTGAAGATATTTGGAATAGATTGAATCTCAAATATAGTTAATTGTTGCACTAATAATATTTTAAAGGGATATGAGCCTAATATACGAGTATATAAAATAATTAACAATTCGATAATTCAACTCTAACTTAGGTCTTAGTATAAAGAATGCTCGATAAAAATTACATAATTTAATAAATCTTGGATATTGAAGATTTTTTCGAGTATGTTACAAATTTGGAAAAAGTAAAATATTCACTGTTTGTAGATTTTTATGTATGTGCGAAAAGACTAAATATAATTTAGAACTTTCATTGTATGTCTAATTATCAAAAATTACTAGAATTTTAGAAACTATTTTGAAAATCTATTGTAAACATTTTCGCTATCCACAAGAAGTAAACTGATTTTGTTTTATGTATTCCTCAGAACATCCCTATTTTAGTAAAAGTATAAGCGTTTTCTAAAAGTATTATCAAAAAGTTTTTAAAATGTTATTCTTTTAAAAGCCAGTTGTTTCGAAAATTCAATAATAATATTACCAATACCTTCTACATATTTGGAAAAATCATACGAGTATTAGTATTTTCAGGTTTTATATTTGTAATAGCAATTAATTGATGTTTAGCACATTTATGAATGTGTTTGTATACTGAAATTTATATGATTATAAGATGCTAATTACACAGATTCCCTAAGCAATTTTCCACTTTTAATTCCGTTCCTCTTAAGGTAATTTTGTTTTTGTTATAATTGAAGAGACAGAAACATGCCTCATTTTATATTTTAAGGGGATAATATGTATATATGTTTTTTTATTTGTTAACTGTTACGAATTTGTATAAATTCAATTAGTATTTAATTTTAATGGATAAGAAAATAAAATAAATTTTTTTTTATATATAAAATTACCGTATAAAATTTAATTTTTCATTAATTTTATTTAATTTCTAATATTTTTTCTTATTTCTTTTTAGAGATTAAATTATGACTGCTATTTTTTGGTGGAAAACGAATTCGTTTTAAAATACACAAGATGTTAGTATGGTAAACTTAAATATGTAAATAAATTTAAAATTTTATAAGCTTATCTTATAAATAATAATCTGAAATTTATCAGAATTTACCAAATTTAATCACATAGTTTTCAATTAGTTTTTAGTATAATTTACTGTAATTCACGTAATGTATAATGTAAGAATTAAAAATTTCAAAATTAAAATAAAAAAAAAATTAATTTTGCTAACTTATATATCAAATATTATTTTGGCGCCATAAAGAGATAACATACGTCTCAATTTTTAAAAATAAATTTTTTTAAAATTAATTTTTTTTAAATTAGAAATTTTAATGTAAATCTGTACTTGTATATACACATACATATACTATTGAAAATTAAATTAATATAATATTCTGATATGATTAATATTTTTATAATTTTAAGCTTTTAAAATTAAATAAATCATATAGTTAAGTCCGTATTGACACCATAATTAAATCCATGTATGATTCAATTCTTTGTTTCGTTTTTAAATAATAATTTTTTGTATTTCTATTGTAGAAATCCGTAGAAAACTAAGTTGCTTTGGATGTATAATAAGAGGTCTTGAGTATGATCTATTCCAATTAATTGAAGGAAAAATCAAAGGTAAAAAAAATACTTGAAGGGAAAAAATATCATGGCTCAGAAATATTCAAAACTGGACAGGCAAGAAAAGTAGTAAAAGAAAATACTAAAAGTAGGAAAAGAATATTAGTCTAGAGTGCTAGATACAGAGAAGAATATGCTAAAATTATCGCAAGTCTATACAAGATAGAGATAGAGTTGCAAAAATCGTTTAAAATGCAAAACTCAACATACTATGAAAAAAACTGTTTTAAGTTTTGTACTTAAAATTTTCAAAACAAAAGGTTAGTTAAGATTAGTTTGTAAAAGTTTAATGATACCGTAAATTTAGAGTTATTGATATAGCATTAAAATGTACAAATGTTCCGAAATTTGTAAAATAGTTTTCTATTTTACGGTTATTGCGTCGGCTGTCAATTATTATTGTTATACATAGAGTATCGAAAAACATTGCCCTTATTGAAAATATTCTCCGAAACTATTATTTGCTTTAAAAAAACTCCTAAATGTAATTTAGCTTTTAATGAATTATTTTAAACTGTTAATAATAAAAAATTTTTGAGATAATTTCAATAAAATTTGACCATAAATAAATAAGTTGGATTAAAAATTTTTTTAATTTCATCGCAGTAATATCTAATTGATTTCACTCAATTAATATTTCATTTTTATAAAATAATTTCGATCAGTATACATTTTATTGTAAATCACGTGATGCATATAAGAAATTTTATAATTTTGACAAATCAAGACAAAAATATATAAATACTTACTCATAATCTGGTTGTGTATAATCCTGATGTGTTGGATATGATGAATAATAACAATTATTATTATTAACATAATTAATATGATCGCCATAATATCCAGCATTTGGTAAATTTGGATTATAATTTGTCATAGTTTTTATTAATAATAACAAAAAAAAAATAAAAGTTTTAAAATTTTATTATCACTTTTTATATTAAAAAAGAAAAAACAAAACAAAATTTATATTGTAAAGTTAATTAATTTATAATATTAAATTAATAAAAATAAAATTTAAAATTTCTTAATAATTTGTTATTTAATTATTTATGATCTTAGTAAAAAATTAGTAAAAAATTATTTGAGTTATTTTAATTATTTAATTACTAAGGTAATAAAATATATAATAGGTAATAAAATTTTTAAATTTTATTATTATTTTAAATATTATTAAATTTTTTTTTTTGTTTTGCGATATTTAAAAATTACAGCGACCCGTCCACTATAAATTTGTCCAGCAAAGACAGTTAAACTAATAAATCTACATATGTTTCAAGTACTATCTTTAAACTTATAGGTTTCGATTGATATCTTTAACTAAAATTAAAAAATATAAAAAAAAATAAAACAAAAAAAGAACAAAATTATTTTTAATATTGATATTATTACGTATATACTTGCATATGCGAATGTATTCATAAATAAATATATGGAGCATATGTACTTTTATTAAAAAAAAATTAATTTTTATATAAAATTGAATTATGTATATGTTAATAATAAGGTTCGAAGTCAATTGAATAAGAAATAAGAATTGATTTTTCTAATATTTTAAATTGATTTCTCTAAAATTTTAAATATATTAGAAAATTCAATTCTTATTTGATACAAAAAATATTCTAATTTTCTAAATATGCTCAAGGAGAAACAAATTAAAAAAATTAAAATAAACTAATTCTAAAGATAATATTTATTAAGCTAAATTAATTTATTAGTTAATAATTAACAATCATTTTAAAATTAAATAAATTTGAAATATTAAAGGCTTCCTGAAATATTAATATTGCATTGTGAATTTCAAACTTGATTTTTAAATATTAAAATTATTTCAAAATTATTTAAATTGTAAAAGACTTACTTTTATAACTCGCACAAAAACACACATGTTATTAATTGTAAGAGATGCATTACTAATTCTAATATTTATGATCAAATAAAAGTAAAAAAGCTTACATAGAAATCAGTGAATTTTTCCGAATTTCGATTGGAGCATATGAAAACACATTTGTTTGGAATAAAATTATTGAAAAAAAAAAATCGAAAAATTTGACAATATGTCTATGGGGAGCGCAATTTTTATAGGAAATTATTAAAATTGCAAAATACATCAGTTTGAAATGCAATAATAAATAATAATGTCTCATATAATAACCATATACCATACATATATTTGGTTCCATAACTACATCAAAAATTTGAATTCGATTCTTAATTTTAACAAATATTTTTCAGTTTATTCGTATTTATACATATATGTGTATGTACATATGTATGAATTCATGTGTAAAAAATGATTTTTTTTTATCAATTTCACGTAATACAAATAATCGAATATCTACAATTATGTGTCAGTTGGAAATTTCTTATCACAACAACAAAAAGAAAATAAGAAAAAAAGAAGCAAAAATAACAATTTTTTTTTATTCGACCAATACAGGAATTTATTTACCTGTATATTTATTAATTTTTTTTTTTTTTTGTTAATACTTACATATTTAATATTATATATTAATCTAGTTATCAGGACCTCCACTATCTTATCATATAATTTTGATTTAGATTGAAATACTTTTTTATTTAGAGAACAACTTTATGTATATACATAAGTACATATTAATAAGTTAAACAAAAAATAAAAAAATGATTTGATGGTTAAAAACAACGTAAAAAATAATTTTTTTTTTAGCTTTGCAGAATGTTTTTTTATTATTAGTAGTAGAATGCAAGATAGCAAAATTATACAAGTATATACCCCTATACATAATAATTATGTACAATATTCATATTATTATATGTAGGTAATAAAATTATATCTAATAAATGTCTCTGAATTGAAAAAAAATTATGAATTTATTATAATTCTTATTTTATGTTGTTGTTTTTTTTTGTACATTTTTATGATCTCTGCAAATTATTATATGAGTACGTACTTCTCAAATTTATAATTGATTTAAGAATAAAATAAAATACATAAGTACTATCTACATATATTATGTATATTATATGCTTATATAGGTATTAAAAATAAATCGAAAAATTTTTTGAAATTTTGTCAATATTTGCATTTTAAGTACATATAATGCAATATAATATTATATAGGTATTACAAAAGAAAATTTCAGTATTCATGAAATTTAAAAAAAAAAATAATTTTAAATTTGCTAATTGTATAAAACTGTACGATTTTTGTAAATACATAATTGTATTACAATTCGTGTAAATTGTACATATGCAGTGGGCAAGGTATTGGTATCTGGTCACAAATTTAGTTAAACCGTACAAGTATTATATGCAAATATTTAGTGTAGACCATTATTTTTTAATAAAACTTCAGCGCTATCATGTTAAAATATTAACATGATATTATAAATTTAATACGCTTGGAGCAATATCATAGTTCGAATTTTACAAATCAGCCATTGTATATGTACAATAACGCGCTTTGTATTGTTCTTGTGTAAAATAAAATCGAACCCTTGTAAAAATAAACTTTTGAAAACAAAACAATATTGATAAAATAAATGTAATTTAGTTGCATTTATTACCGTTAATAATAATAATTAATTATTTCTAGTACAAATACCGTTAATTAGTTATAATTGTAAAGAATTCCGTTATTAAAACTGAAAAAAAAAAATGTGAACTTAAATTTTAAAAATTATAAACATACGTTTTACAAAAAAATTAATTACCAGTATTGCTTATAGATGGCACATTTTATATTTTGTAGAAAATTATTTTTATGTTACCTAGTCTCCACAATCAATAATGGCAGCTCTAAACATTGATCATATGTTTTTTACATTTGACATTTTTTTTGACGGCTCTATAAAGAAATAACAAGAAAAGAAATATCAAAGAATAAAGTTGGGAGGTGTAAAATTAATTATTTTTATTGTTCTTCAATTCTAGAAAAAAATAATCAAGAGAGCAAAATTAATTTATTTTTTAAGTTTTTAATTAATACAAACATGATGCACCAAGCGTATAATATGCAACTTTTAACAAAACTCTCCGTTCATATTGAATCCATTGCAGCTTTTGGTAAATATCGTCTCATAAAATATATTATTAATTAATGTACATATGTAACTTTACAAAATTTAAGTAATAATTTGAAAATTTCTGATTTGAAGATAATACCATAGTTCTTGGAACACGTAAAGGTGAATTACTTACGTATGCGGTTAAGAAAAAAGAAGATGAAGACAAAATGAAATTGGATTTACAAATTTTCGATAAAGAATTTAGCAAAAAACCTATTGTACAATTAGAAGTTGTACCAAAAGAATTACTTTTTGCATTAACAGATAATATAATTCATGTTAGTTATATTAACAAAATGAAATTATTACGTTTATATAAAGCTTCCGAAACGAAAGGAGCAAGTCTATTTTGCATTCATGAGAAAGTACGGCATATACTTATGTCTACACAGTTTTTTATCATAAAATCTTAAAAATTATTTCATTTTAGACTTCAGAATCGACAACATGTGAAGTAAAATCAATTATAACAGTGTGTGTGGCTATTAAACGGAAATTACAATTTTATATTTGGGAAAACAATAAATTTACTGATATGAAAATTTCTATTGAGTTAAAAGATTTACCTAAAGCGATTTCAATATATAATGAATTTGTTTGTGTTGGATTTAAGGATGAATACGTTTTATATGATGTAGGAAAATTTTTTATTTTTCTGAATTCAACACAAGGAATTTTTTTTTTTTTTTAGATGTCAGAAAAACCATCATTAAAACATGATTTAATCTCAACTTCATCATCTTATAGTCAAGATCCTTGTATTTGTCTATTAAAAGACGTTTTCGGATTGATAAAGGATCAGTTTTTGGTCGGTGTGGACCCAATGGAATTTCCAAAACCAAATAAGGATAGTAAAAGGCAGGATGATAATCAAATTAAGCCTACTACCGAAATAATTCCAGAAAGAATAACACTTTCGAAAAATTCTGATGCATGTAAACATTTTTCACCATTGTTATGGAGTCAGCCTGTTTTAAATCTAGGTAAAATTTTGGATATGTATCTACTTACACTAAAATAGTATGTTAAAATATTTTTCCTCAGTTTGGGATGAACCATACATATTAGGTCGTACTGCAGATTGCTTAGAAGTTCGTTGTTTTGACTCAAATGGTTTAAATAAAGAATCATTGGTGCAATCTTTTCCCGATCTTGGTAAAGCTCGATTTTTGAAGTGCTCTGGCAAAGGTACAATTTTTGCAGCAGCTATTTCTGAATTATGGTATCTTGGAAGAGTTGATATTTCTAAGCAAATTCAAAGTTTACAAACCCATAAGAAATTTCAATTGGCCATCGACTTAACAGTAATACCTTAATATAACTTCAATTTCTTTTTTTTACAATAAAACATTTTAGAACACTTCGGATAAATCAGAAGAAGAAAAAGAGGAAATCATACGAAAAATTCAAGCAAGGTTTGCAAGAGAACTTTTCTTTACAAAACAGTTTAGTGCGGCCATGCAAGAATTTGCAAAGTCTCCGACACACCCATACGATGTGATTCGTTTATTTCCAAATTTATTTCCAAATGATAGTCAGCGGTCATCACCTACACATACTGATTCAAATATTCCACTATTAGAAGATAAGGATTTGGAAGATGCTTTATTAGCATTACAAGATTATTTAGCTTTTGCAAGGCACGAGGAAGTTAAGCGTATAGAAAAACTTTGTGAAAAAGATAAACAGAGTAAGGGTTCAAAGCCGAAAGTATCAACTTTGCTGTCTGTGTTAGATACGACATTATTAAAAACATATTTACAAACAAATAATTCCAAAATTGAAATATTATTACGGCAAGGTCGTTGCGACTTTGAAGAATCAGAGAAAACACTGATAAAATATAGAAAGTTTTCAGAATTAAACATTTTGTATAATACAAATGGAAAACATCAAAAAGCTTTAGAGTTACTTAAATCACAATCAGATAACCCTGGAACTCGTCTTTATGGAGTTGAACAAACTATCAAATATCTACAAACACTGGGACCCGAACATAAATATTTAATTTTTGAATATTCAGATTGGGTATTAAAGAAAGATCCAAATGCCGGTATTAAAATATTTACTGAAAATTTTGATGAAATTAAAGCACTTCCTAGGCCAGAAGTTCTTGATTTTTTATTAAAAGGGCATAAAGGATTGGTTATTCCATATTTGGAACATATAATTGAAGAATGGAATGAAAAAACTCCATTATTTCATAATTATTTAATAAACCAGTATAGAAAAGAGATCGATAATTTAAAAAGTATTTTAGAAAAAGATGAGAATGCAATGTAAGTGTAATCATTTATTGCAAATGCAGTTTATTTTATTTGATTTAATGAAATATTAATTTTAGTGAAGCATCAGAGTCATACAAGTCTACTCGTAGTAAATTACTAAATTTTTTAAAAACATCCAACATTTATTCACCTGAAAATGTTTTAAAAGATTTACCAACAAACGATTTATTTGAAGAACGTGCAATAATTTTAGGAAAATTAAAGAAACATAGAAAAGTATTAGTTATATATTATCAAGTTCTTGGGGATATTGAAAAAGCCAAAGAATATTGTGAACAAGTTTATCCCGATGACAACAATATCTTAGTTCTTTTAATTGAAACTTTACTAACTAAACCAGATGCACCTCCATATAATGGTGTAACATTACATCCAATCTGTTTACAACCAAATACAGAAATTGTTTTGGAACTTCTCGACAAATATGGCACAAAAATTGATCCAGTTGATGTGATAGCGGTATTATAAACTTTGTTAAACTATGTTATTTTATTATAAATAAATTAATTTTTAATCACAGTGTCTACCAAATGATATACCATTACATAGGATTAAGGATTTTTTAGAAAATTCTTTAAGAGACAAGTTGGAAACAAGACGTCATTGTCAAGTTTTAAATGGTTTACTTAATGCTGAAGAATTGAGATTAAAAGAAAAACTTATGCGCTATGAAAAGAAGAGTATAGTTTTAACTGCTTATAGTATTTGTAATATTTGTAAAAAACGATTTACAAATCAAAGTGCATTTGTTAAATATCCGGATGGTGAAATCGTGCATTTTTCATGTCAAGATAAAATTTCAAATTAATAATTTATCAATATTTTGGTCAGTTCTAATTTTTTTTTTATTATTATTTAATTTAAAAATACATATATTATTAAAAGTGGTAATAAAATAATATAATAAAAATTTTTTGTAATAATTTTTTAATATCAGATTTGAATAGTAAAATTTTTAAAATGTCTAAGTATTAGAAAATGTTTTTTTCTGGAAGATTTCCAAAAGAAAACAGGTGTATATTTTAAATTTTTACTATGTGCAATTTGTATTACTTTACTGAATTGATAATTAAATATATTAATTTCTTATTTAATATTCGTATTTCTTTAATATTTCAGTATGTAAAATAAAATAAGTAAAATAAATTCACATATTTAATAGCTATTTTTTAAACTAAATCTACTTTAGCGGAAATATTAATCAAAAAAAAAGTACAGATAACATAACAGAAAAAAGTACAGATAAAAATTTTGCCCTTTGGCATAATTGCAATTAAAGTGCATTGTAAATTGTTTGCGATTATGTTATATGCGTTAATAGGAAAAATTTTGAAATTTTTTTTATCAACATTACAAATGTAACAAGAAATCTACTATATTTAATGATAAAACAAATTATCAACGTTGCAACAAATACAAAGTACTACATTTTTAGTAAGTACCTACAGACATATATAATAATGTGTACATATTGTATGTATATGAAAATTTTGTTTATAGTGCTAATAATGCATTTAAAGCTTTAAATATTATATAACAATGCACAATTTATCTCTGCTATTTTTTTCCAAATACTTTTCAATTTATCAAAAATCAAGTTTATGTATCATATGATGATCTATTAACAGGTAGTTTTTTTTTGTGGTGTTACCTGACAACTTTTAAATCATGCTAACATAAAATTGTGCAAAATAAACAATGGATATTTTTGTATTTATGCTACAATATATGATATTATAGTATTGGTTTAGTTGATAATTGCAAAATTTACCCCATCCAAACTTTTATATCATGTAAAACTTATTTGTTTACTCTTGTACATGATTATTATTTTATATTTTTAGCTCCAACACTCTTTTTAAAAATATGTAATATTTTTAGTTTCAGTTAGTTGAGCTTAAGACATTTAACAGGTCGTTTGTATATATTATAGTTTATAAGAATGATGTAAAATTGCGTAGTACCACGACGGTATGACTAACGTGTAATACAATATAAATGCTTATATAAATTATATACATATATATATGGATAAGAAAAGTGGAGAAAAAGAAAATTAAAAACTTTCACTATCAAGTAAATTTGTTTTTTTTTTTTTTTGAAGATTGAAGAAGAAAATAAAAAACGTATAACATATAGAGTTATAAAAGAAACAAAAAACAAAATTTATTTTATACAAAAGTTATATAAAAGTGGGGATCTTATATCATGCCTATTGAAATTGGTAATGTAATGCATAAAAATGTATTTTTTATTGTTTTATGAGTACAGCTCCTCGTAACTATGTTAGCCCAGCTAAATATTCGAATGAATTTATAAAATGTTACTATAAATTCGTTAAATAAAATTTATAATAGATTATTATTAAAATATTGTTATTGATTTTAGTCTAAATTTGCTTGCTATACTTTTGAAGGTAAAAGTAATTATCGTAAAAAATTTTTCAAATATTTTAAAATTAACTCAAATAAAGGATAGTTTAAGTTTACATTAACAGTATAATAATTAACAGTATTTATTTTAATATAATTCAGAGATCTCAAAATGTATACCTAGGTTACAATAAATATATTAGAATAATTAGAGTAACTGTGTTAAAAGCTTACGGTAAACGCAAAAATAAATGAGTTTTTTTAGTAGATTGCAAATAATCGAAATACTAAAATTTTTGTAATGGATTGAAATATTGAAATTTTACGGATGTGAATCGTGTATCTCAGTATTTTACTCACCATGTGATAAGAAAGTGTAGAATTAATGTATTTTTTCTTAATTTTTGCAATATATTGGATTAATGTAGTTTTCGGAGTGAAAAGAATTTTTTCGGAATGTTTATCTCATTTTTTTCTAAAATGTGTACAAAATTTAGTCATTTATTAATTCATTTTCTTTTTTGGAGTTGATATTTTGCGAAATAATACGAAAATTCAATTGAATACTGTGCCATAATTTTTTTTTTTCATAAAACCAAATTTCATTTATACGTTTTTATAACATACTGTATTAAAAAATTTCTTCTTTAACATTATCTCATCATATTCCAATATGATTTTTCTTTTATATTACTTATAAAGTTATGTTGAATTTATAATGGAAATTACGTACGTATATTGAATAAATAATTACACATTACAAAAACTAAACTCAATTAGGTATTTAAAATGATTTGATCAGATTATGTACATATTATAAGTTATGCTTGGCATATTAAGAAGATGTATAATGAATTTTAACATACCTTTTACATATACACATAAACCAATACTATTATATTGTAAATTGTAATAAAAATAAAGGTATGTGCTAATTTATTTAACAATTTTTTTTTTTTAAATTTTTTAAGCAAATAGTGAAAATAATTACACAATATTATAGTATGTAAATCTAGAAATAATATATGTATGTATATAAACATACGTTTAATGTCATCATTATAGAAAATAAAGTGAATATCTGTCGAATATTGAATTTGATTGATCTTAGAGAAAATGAACTTGTTAAAATTCTGATTTTTTAATTGATTTTTTTTTATTCAATAGAATTAATTTTCATATTGTAAGATTGTAATATTTGTTTGAATTTATAATTTGTATGGATGCCATTGGAACATTTAATGGTTACGTTTATATGTGCATGAATATGAATATAGTACCAAATTATAAAAAGGTCTCCAGGTTTTATTAAAATTGTTCATATTTGCTATATCTTGTAAATTATAACAAATTTTATTGGATATTAGCATTCTGTTTAATCATATCACTTATATTTTAGTGGCAAAATTTTGTTCAAAAATTTTTTTTTAAATTTTCTGAAAATTCATAATTTTGCATATAGCCCGTTTTAGTTTAATGATTTAATCAAAAAGCAATGATAAAAGGTTTGTTTATATGTAAATACTTTTATTATTGTTAATGGTAAAAATATGTTGGAAAAAGCTTTCAATTAACAATAATTTTTATTTTCAGATTTCTTATATGTATACATAACTTTTATGTACTTTATAAATTAATTATCGTAAAAATAAGAATTATTACCATTATATTATTTCAGTTTAGATTAGAAATTAGATTTAGCAAGTTCGGATTATTGTAAATTTGTTGAATTTGAAAAAAATAATTTGAAACTCTATATATTTTTTATTTTAAAATATGCTCTTTTAAAATATTATGCATAAATTATTGCTAATAAAATATGGAAAATGGTATTTATAAAAAAAAAAAAGAAAATTTCATTGAAAAATTTGAATTATTTAAAATATTTAAAAGAATTGATTATGAATTAATTGCTATTTTTAATTGCATCTCTAAAATTCTTAGAATTTAAATAATTACCGTACAAATATTTGGAATAGTGATCGAAGAATTCGAATAATTACTGTAAATTAATTATATTGAATTATTTATAATTATAACTATTTCATGAAAAATTACATAATTGTGCTAAATATTTCAAAAGAAATTTAATAAAAATGAAAATAGTAAATTAAAACTGAGCAATATTCATTTGTAAATCTTGGTTATTTATAAACAATTTCTATTATAGAGATTTTATAAATAGAATTTTGCATATAATTAAAAATTAAGTCTTTTATATTTTTGTTATAGAAACATAAAATTTTCTTATTTACAGATTCAAAACATTATGTACAAAATTTACTTACAAAAGGAAAAGATATTCCAGTGGATACAGAAATTAATACAGATCAAATAGAATTACCACCTTGGTATGATGAAAAACTTTTCAGAAAGTATGTTTTTTTAAATACATACGTACATTTTTAATAATTATTTTTTTTTTGTAGGGGACAAAAATATTATACACATAATATATTTGCTATTTTTATTGGTATGTTACTTGGTCTAATAGCAGTATTATCAATACCAACAATATTAAAAATTTTAATAAGTACAAAAAAATCATCAAATAATAAAACAGCTTATCAAAGATATATGAGAACAATATATCATACAGTATATTGGCATTGGTATATATTTGGTAATGGTAGCGATAAAGATGATATTATTAAAATAAGAAATACAAAAATATTTAAAAGTTTAATATTTGTACGTAAAACACATTTAATATCATCAAAATATTGTTCAACAATTGGTAATGGTTTTATATCACAAAAGGATATGGCATTAACACAATTCGGTTTTATGGGTTTTATAACATTAAAAGGAAAATATTTAGGTTTAAAACATAATGATGAAACATTAGCTGGTACAATACATTTTTGGCGTGTTATTGGTTATTTATTAGGTATTAAAGATGAATTTAATATATGTACAAATGAATGGGATACAACAAAAATACGTTTAGAAAATATTATTGATGAAATTTATAAACCATCATTAACAAATATAAATGATGATTTTATGAATATGGTAAAACCATTAATTGAAGGTTTATGGTCATTTAATCCATTTTTAAGTGTTGATGCATTCTTATTTATGACAAAAAGATTAGTTAATTGTAATGGTTATGAATATTTTAATTCAGATTTTAATAATAGAAAAATGTTACCATTAGCAGTTGATGGTGAAAATAATAGCAATAATAATAATAATAATGAAGAGAATATTATTAAAAAAGAATTATATAAGGAAATGACAATATGGAATAGATTTGTATTATGGTTTACATTAGTTACATTACAATTTATTTATCCATTAAAATTATTTAAATGGTATTTTGATTTTCAAATATATTTATCACTATTCTTAATTACATATATACCATTTTTAGCATATCATAGATTTGGTTTTAAAGATAGTTATGTTAGAATTAAATTGTGATAAAATTCTAATGATATTTCTTTGATCATCATCATCTCTGTTAAACAGTGTTACGTGAAACATTGCTTCTGCTACTACTTACTGCCTGCCATTGGATCTCTCTGTTTTGCAAAATTGTACCAATTAAAGATGTTCATTATTCTTAGATTTGCTTCAATATCTTCAATCCATCTCTTTTTTCGATAAACTGTACTCTATAATTTCTATAAACTCTGTTATACGTTATAAATTTTATTAGAATTTTGATTCACAAAAAATGTTTACCCTATTAGTCGAATCACTCGATGGGTTATTATTCAAAAATCTTATACTTTTTTTAAATAAAATCAATTTTGAAATTTTGAATTCTATACATAAAATATATTGTATTCCATAATATTCCATCACTACATGTAATGTAACTAATATTTAAAAAAAAAATTAAATTATAAAAGGTTTAAATTGACCTGACATTCAACGGGCAGTATTAATGTAGTACTTCATTGTATCTGTGATCCATATTGTAATATAATTAAAAGTGTATACAATGTAGCGGGATCCAAATTGCTAAAAATGGGTTTATGCAATAAGAAAGCAAACAGTGTAGTGAAAAAATCGAGAGTCACGGATATTTAAAATAAATAAAATTTAATTTTTTGTAAAATATTTAATCTTCTTTATTTTATTATTATTACTATAATTAAAATTGTAAACAATAAAGTAAACATTCCTTGTAATAAAAAAATATACATTTAATAAAGATTAAAAATATAAACAAAATAAAAATTTTTTTGATAACCTTGACTTTTTTTTGCTTTAAGACTTTTTAATTCTAAACGTGTGCTTCGATATAGGGGGCAACGATCTATTTATATTTTAAAACAATTTCCCGTTTAATACGTACGCTGCCGTTTAAAATCAAAATTAAGAATGTAGTTAATTTAGAATTTTAGGTAAAATTAATCAAAAATAATCTTGTTTTTCTTTTGTTTACACTTAATCAATTGCTTATTAGTCATTTGATAAGAAATTTCAAAGTTTATATATACATATATGTCACACAACCATGTTAAAAGATTTTGTTATATATGATTGTAAAAATAAAACAATTAAAAAAAAAAATTTCAAACTTTAATTGCACAATTAACTTGGATTATCGTGTTAATATATAAGTATGTATTATGATAATTTTCTATATCACATATATCGTGCATTTTAAAATCACATATATCGTGCAAAAATTTATGGTAAGTAATAATTCTAATTGCAGTTTTGAAATTTTAATTTAGAATTTAAATATCTCAGAAAAAAAACAATATGAGTATATGGATAATTGAAAATTCAGTTCTAATCTGAAGTTAATAAGGAGTGTGTTCGAATCTATCACGTTTGCGGGTCCTGTGTGGATGCGGTGATTTGTGAGAAAGGAATACCATGGGTTGCTCCCAAATTTGAGCTCTTCAAGTTGGCGGCCACTGACAACATAGGCGTCGGCTGAAATAAAATACTTTGAGGGGGTTATCCTTCCTTGACTTAAGATAATTTATAAGTGCTGTATAGACTTAACCTACATTTCAAAAATATGGAATGTTGCTAGGGTGTCTTTCATTTCTAAGACTGCGAGACTCTTACAATTGCCCAAAGGATCTTAAATCCATCAGCCTAACATAATTTTTATTAAAGATATTGGAAAAGTAGGCGTATATATAAAGAATAACCTTAACTCCAAGTTGGAAAGAGGAATATTCTATCCGGGTTGTTGGCTGTGGGCTCACTATTAACCCAAAAAAAAAGACGAAACTAGTTATTTTTAGATGGAGATACAAGATACTAAGCATCAAGGTACTGCCGGAACTCAACGAAATTCGTTTATGCTTCAAAAAGGTGATAAATGGATTTAGTTCTTGATTCGGAGGTGAGCTTGATAAGCAATATTATGGAAATACTAAGTAACTATTGTGCCTTACTCATGTAAAAAGTTCATCGGAAAGGTGTTGGGCCTCTGCCAATAAACATAGTTTACTATATATACATCGCGGTGATCAGGCTCGTTCTGTATGTATGGTGTTCTGCTAAAGTGGCTACAATCTTGTACAGCTGTGAACTTCAGATTGATAAGCAAAATCAAAAGAATGGTAATAATGTGTACTGTTAGGATATTACGCTATTACGCTATTAGGATACTACCCTCCGACTCAGGGAGAGTCTTATGTGAGATCTTTTACAGGTTTCAATCTATCTATATTATAAAGAGATTTCAGTCTATCATGATTCTTTCATATTATTATTGTTAAAGTTACAACAAATGTAAGGCAAATGAATTTTAAAGGGGAATTCATTGCTTTTAGATCTGAAAATTAAATTTTTTATACAAAAAATAAAAGTATTTTATTAAAGATTTTTCCTTCGTCTTTATTATTCCAATGTTTAAATAACATTACACCAGTTTTTTTTTTGTTTTTTGTTTTTATATTATTCTTATCATAATTAAATTTTTTTTTTTTTTTTATATCAGAAAATTTATCATTTTTTGCTTCACTTTTTTTTCCATTTTTTTTTTTTTGGTTTTATTATTTAGCAGATTATTTGGTTTTTTTTTTGTTTGTTTTTTTTTTAATTTTTTTTAACTATATTTTTTTAATATACTCGCATTAATTTATTTAATAAACATTATATAATTAACAAAATAAATATTGTATGTTATGCATGTTATGTATATAATTTATGTATGAATAAAATATATAAAAAAAAATATGCAATTAAATTGAAAAAATTAATTGAATTTTTATTGATTGTTCAAAAATAAAATTTCGAAAATTTTGAAAAAATTAAAATAAACGCTGGTGAATAAATGAAAATTTTATTAAATTTTAGCGTAAAATAATTTTTGAAAATAAAATGAAAATTTAAGAAAATTATAATTAGATTATTTTATTAGAATTTTTTAAATATTATTTAACACATAATATTTTTGCCTTTTATCCTTTGCATCCCTTTTTATTTTGCAATTCTTATTTATTATTATTACTTTTTTTGTTTTGTTTTAGTTTATATCTTATATTTTAATTAATAATAATAAGTTGTCCATCATTGAATTTATTAAATCTTCTTCATTTTTTTTTTATTTATTAAATTTTCTGATTCGCTCTTCTTTTAGCATATTTTAAACTCTAGCATCAATCTTAATCCTTTGGTTTTTATACAAATTTCATAATATATACTTTTTTTTTTAATTTTGTTTTTTGTTTTTTTTTTTTTAAATACATTTTATTTGATTTTATTTTCCTTATTTTTATTATTATTTTTTTTTTTATTTTCTTAATATTATTTTCTAAATTTCTTAATTTTCAATTTATTTATTTTATTTTATTTTATTTTTTTGTAAATATAAATTTAAGCAATGCGCTTTTGATTTTCAATATTATTGAGAAAAAATTTAACAAAAAATCTGATAAAATGAGTATAAAAATTTATTAATTATATCAAAAAAAAAAAAATTTGAAAATTAATTCAAATCGTTTATCAGAAAGAACAAATTAAATTGAATTAAATAATAAGAATTTTTTTTTTTTGATATTTTTGCATTAATTAAGAATAATAAGAAATTATATAAATATATGTATATAATTATACACGTATACACGTTTATATTTAAGAATATTTAATAAAATTATTTATATAAATTGCAATTTAATAATTTTATCCTTGAAACAAATTAGATAATTATTATCAAAACTGTATTCTAAAATATCAACACATTTTTCTTATTTTCTTTCTTTTTTTTATATAATTGTATAGTAAATTTACTGGAATTTACATAATGTACATAAATTACCTTATGTATTAGTATGTTGTCAATTATAATATTTTACTTGAGAATAAGGAAATATAAAAAAATAATCGCTTAAAGAATTTTTGCTTTAAATTTCAAAAAATTTCGAAATATTTGACATTTCATTTGACATATTCATTTGTATCTGACATTTAAATATATGACATTTCAATGCTTCAATAAATATTATCTATAGTCTTATTCACAATTAGTCGTCTTTCTACCAAAAATGCAAATCTAATGTCAAATTGACTTATTTATAGTATTTAAAACTATTATACTGTCAATAAGTCACTATGACGTTATAGATTTATATTTTGGTAAACACTCAATTTTTACTAATTTTTTTCGTGAATTTATTTTTAATTTATGTATTGATTTATGTATGATTAAATTTTAAGCATATTAATTCATTAATGGTGCCATTGGTGGCGAAATGCGTATTTCTTTAAGTGAAATTTTTTAATATAAATGTATGCATGATTGCTGTATGTTTTGTTAGTGTATGTTGTAATGAATGAAGGTATTAAAATATTAAAAGATATTTATTGACAAACTAAAAAAATATAAAATTATATAAAATATGTTGATATTTTTTTATTTAATTCTAATTTATATTTTATTTATTGCAATTTATATAAATTTTTTTTTTAATTTTTTAGTTAATTAATAAAATAAATTATGAAAAAAAATTTACTAAAATTTATAATGATTTTGCTTTTTAATTTGCTGATTTTTTATTCTTATATAGCGTGAAATATAGGTATATATAATTATAATAATTATTAGAAGTAGAAAAAATTTTTGTTTTTCTTTATAATTCATTAAATATACAATATTTAATTATATATATTATTATATATATATATATATATATATATATATATATATATATATATATATATATATATATATATATATACTTATTATACATTTATATAAATAAATTTATATAGAATTAATAAATATATTTTTTTAAACAATATAATTGTTATTAATAAATTTTTTAAATTTGTAATTATAATTAAATATATAATATGTATTGAATTGAAAAGCATATTAATTATGTATAGTAGGATTTTTATATTATAATTTATATATATATATATATATATATTTTGGTTTCACATATTATTAATATAGTTTAAGGATTATAATAATTAAATGATTTTTTTTTATTTATTAAATAAGTTTTAATTTTATTTGTTTCCTTCCATATACATATACATAATAGGTTTATATATTCAAAAATTAAATAAAATAAAATTATTAATTAATATAAAATATATAATTTAATTAATATCATTATATTATTCGAAAATTTTTGTGTTTAAAATTGGGAAAATATTTGAAAATTATATGAAAGTGATAAGTAAAATAATTAATGTTTAATAAATTATATAAGTTTATTAAATTATTATTGCATAATAAAATTATTTATTATATTATTGGAAATATTATCATATTTAAATTATCATATTATTTTTATAATTAAAAATAATAAATTTTTAATTCATTTCTTATTTTCAAATGTTATTGAACTATGCTTTTTATTGAAATTGTTGAAATTATTCTGTCAGAATTTTAGAAAAATTGTGGAAAATTTATATTAAAATTTTTATGAATTAAAAAAATAAAAATTCAAATTCAACAATATTAGTTGTTATTGCAAAACATTTTTATTTTTTCCTTCTTCACTCCTAGGAGGAGTATAGGGCTAGTGCATGATATCTATGATGCTCTAGTTTCTATAGTCATAGAGAGTTAGCTAGGTAGGTGACTAGTCTACCGTATTTGCAAAACATTTACAGTAAATTAATTATTATTATCATTTTTTTTTTGAATTTTCTTTAAAGAATATTTAAATATTTGAAATGAATTTCATCATAATAATGTAAATAAAAAGTTAAAGGCTTTAATAATTTTCAACACTTTTCAGTCCAATAAATAATTTTATTAAATCATTTTAATAAATAATTTTAATAAAAATTATATAACAGAAATTATTTTATTGCTATTTGAATATTCAAATCTATAAAACATAAAATATCTTAAAATATATAAAATATAATGAGTACATAATTGTAAAAAAAAATTAAATAATTTCAATATTAATTCCAAAAAAAAAAAAAAATTCTTTATTTAAATTTTTTATTAGCGGACGAATTGTTTTTTTTTTTTGTCAAAGATTTTTTACTTAAATTTTATTAAACTAATTAATTTTGTTATTTTTTTTTACAAATACATAATTTTTTTATTATTATTTAAA